CGTAAAAAATAATTACTCAACTCAGTACTGAAATTTTGACTGGAACTATACGTGCATTCACCACAACTTCGCCGCTTGCATTGTTTTCAAGATGCAAAGGGCGGGCTCTGTAGGTAATTTTTTACCAACACTTGAGTTAAAACGAGGACTTGACGTTTAAACTTCAATATATCGCAGGAATTTCGAACATTGGACACAGAACTGACGGGTAAAAGGGAGTACAAAGATTATCAATTTTTTAAAAATTGCTATTATTCGAATCTATGATAAAATATGAAAAATACATTATTTAATGTTTTATAGTTTGTAGTGAATTTGAAAAATTTAAGATAAATTGAATATATTTTAAAATAAAATCACTCAAATATTTGATTGAGGAGTTGTGACACGCCAAGGTACTGATGGTTTGAATATTTATTATGTTTTTCTACAAACGTGCTTTTGAAAACATACATTAAAATTGGGTGGACAAGTTAAAAAAACCTGGATCTTTTGTAATATACTAAAATATTTACAAAAAATATTAACTGATGACATCAAGTTGTCCAACTTTTGTAAAATCACCCATATATATAATATATTTAAAAAGATTATATGAAAGATTGTACTGACCTTTTGATTTCGACGTAGTAGTACAGTTAACTAGATTTAACTGATCAAGCGTTAAAAATTTTGCGTGCAGTGCCCATAAAACATTCTCTTCTCTTTTACTGTGAAAAACTGCTTCTACAGGGTGTTATGTAATTAATGTTATATATTAAAATGGGTTGTTCCTTAGGGTCCATAAAGAAGCACCTGAAACTTTTTTTTTCTAAATTCCAAAGTCTAAAAATAATTTATAATAACCTTTATCCTACCAAAAAGTACGCCACTGATCGACTAGGAACTTTAGGTTAATCTGGTGGATTTATTATGTTATGGTTGGTAACAGTTTTTCCAAAATCTCTCAAAAAAGTTGACAAACATTGTTTAAATTTAGCTTAATTACAAAAATGACAAAATTAACAATGCAAATTGTCAATTTGGCGTTTTTATTAATTGTTGGTTATTTCATTTTTGTACTGAAGGTAAATTCAAACAAAATCTGCCAACTTTTATGACAGAATCTAGTGCATTTCTTTTAAATTTTAGGTTATGTTTTCAAATTGTAAATATCTTAACTAAGGGAAGTGCTTTTGGATTTATTTACACAAATTAAATGTTTAAAGTTTAACCTGTGAACTGGTCCCATTTTCATCTGAGTAAACAGAGAAAAAAACTGATGAAAAAATTAATTTTGTGGTTATGGATTTCAAATTGGGTACTAAATTTTCTAATCATTGCTTAAGCTAATAGCTGGATCAGTAAATAAATACAGAAGGGTATTAAGGGCTTTAAGGGCATAAAACTTTTGTATTTATTGAGTTTTTATTTATTTTTTGCAAGAAAAATTTTTAGTAACAATTTTTTACATCTGGCAACGCATAGCTACTTTGTTGGTTGGTATCTATGTACTCACAAAATACAGGTGTGCAGAGATAAACAAGTGTGTAACCAGTGGCGTATCACAAAAAATATAAAAAACTTCTAATGCATATTTTTTCTTTATCTTTGGAAAAATGTTTTTTTAAATATTTTTCCTTTATTCCTTATGTCAAAAGGTATTCAGTATTTTAATATATAACATTAATTACATAACACCCTGTATATCGATTGTTAGTCTATTTTTAAGGGATAAATTTGAGATTTTAACGCCGGTAGATTCTCAAGTTAGAAATTCTAATTCCAATAAATCACTTTTTGTACCGTTAGCATTTTTCGTGTAAGATTTTTTAATACTTCGTGATAATATTTAGAAATTATAGTAATAAAAAAAATCAAAGAATAAAATATATTCTTTACATAGATAATCATATTTTGAATAATAATAACGGGCAAACCAACCCAATAAAAAAAATAAAAAAATTTCAAAAAAACAAAAACCCATAACTTTTTTAAAAATGCTGTTTTAATAAATTTTTTGATTTTGAATGTACACAGAGAAATTTGTTGGATTTGGTTTCATAATTGTATGAATTAAAGTGGTAAAAAGTAAAATGAAACTAAATTATTAATTTAGATACCTATGTATTCAGCGACTTATACAAAAAATATGGAAAATAGAATACCTAAACTTAATATAAACTGACACTGAGAACATAAAATAAACATAACAAAACAAACTGAAAAATAAAATTTGTATAGCTAATTTTAATAATATTGAGATATAATTTAACATGATGTTCGTCTCCACTTATAATAGTACAAATGTCGATAGATTAAATATGTATTCAGCGGCCAACACAAAAATTTTTTAAGGATAAAATTAATTTAATATACAGGGTGTTATGTAATTAATGTTATATATTAAAATGGGTTGTTCCTTAGGGTCCATAAAGAAGCATCTGAAACTTTTTTTTTCTAAATTCCAAAGTCAAAAAATAATTTATAATAACCTTTATCCTACCAAAAAGTACGCCACTGATCGACTAGGAACTTTAGGTTAATCTGGTGGATTTATTATGTTATGGTTGGTAACAGTGTTTCCAAAATCTCTCAAAAAAGTTGACAAACATTGTTTAAATTTAGCTTAATTACAAAAATGACAAAATTAACAATGCAAATTGTCAATTTGGCGTTTTTATTAATTGTTGGTTATTTCATTTTTGTACTGAAGGTAAATTCAAACAAAATCTGCCAACTTTTATGACAGAATCTAGGGCATTTCTTTTAAATTTTAGGTTATGTTTTCAAATTGTAAATATCTTAACTAAGGGACGTGCTTTTGGATTTATTTACACAAATTAAATGTTTAAAGTTTAACCTGTGAACTGGTCCCAATTTCATCTGAGTAAACAGAGAAAAAAACTGATGAAAAAATTAATTTTGTGGTTATGGATTTCAAACTTCAAAGGTACTAAATTTTCTAATCATTGCTTAAGCTAATAGCTGGATCAGTAAATAAATACAGAAGGGTGTTAGAGCTTTAAGGGCATAAAACTTTTGTATTTATTGAGTTTTTATTTATTTTTTGCAAGAAAAATTTTTAGTAACAATTTTTTACATCTGGCAACGCATAGCTACTTTGTTGGTTGGTATCTATGTACTCACAAAATACAGGTGTGCAGAGATAAACAAGTGTGTAACCAGTGGCGTATCACAAAAAATATAAAAAACTTCTAATGCATATTTTTTCTTTATCTGTTTTTGCAAATACCTACCTACGGATTTTTCTCTGTGTACTTTTCTGAAAAAAAGTCCGTGAAAGTTTTCAGTTTTTTTGAGGAAAACCATCAATTTTCAAGGTTCGCCATTTTTATTTTTTTTTTCATAAAAAACATCGATTAATTAATTTGGATTTTTATGGCACTATGGGCCCCCCGAAAAGACCCTGATACGGCCCTGTCGCATCCTCTGGAACCTAATAAAATCACAGCTTGCGGAGTCGAAACGGGAGTGTAACCGTGGTAACCTGATACGCGAAACAATCGAGCAACGCGACGGCTAAAACTGGGGTGGCCGTGACGGCAAAGGTGGTGAGAGGGGGGGGTGGTGAAACAGGGTCGCTTGATTTTACAATCCCCAATTAGTAGGCGCGCGTAGGCGATTAACGGCCCTGTCATGTGACTAATGCCAAGGATAATATTTGCCCTTCGCTCAATTACTGGCAAATTAATTTAATTTTCTTTTCCTATGTACGTTGATTTTATTATTGACATGTTACAGTCGCACTATTATTGGTAACTCGGTTTATTTGCCCTGCAAAAGGGTGAGACTTTCCCACAATCCACTAATAAAGAGCTTGCTTTAAATAAGGAATGGTTAGTCCGACAATGGTGAGATGTGATTACAATACATCTTTATATAGATGATAATTGAGTTAACAGTAGTGAGATGTAGGATCGACACTTGAAATATAATTATTATATTTTTATTTTTCAAGTGTCGATCCTACATCTCACTACTGTTAACTTAATTATCCTCTATATAAAGAACTATTGTAATTACATCTCACCATTGTTGGACTAACCATTCCTTATTTAAAGCAAGCTCTTTATTAGGAAATTAATTATTATAAACATACATTTTATAGGATTATGTACATGTTTCTTTAAATAGGTACTTGTTATACAAACAATGGTGAGAGGTTTTAAAATAATAGACCCGCTTTGTGTAGCTCTTATCCTGTAATATAAAAACATGTTCTATCTTTATCTTTGCCATCTTTGACGCGTTGCTAGAAGTGGCGGTGGTGTAAAACTTAAAAAAAAAACGCTAAGCACCTCATTAGGGAGCGTCTTTGAAATTTTAGCTAGGTAAGTACCCCCCTATACTTAATTTTTTCTTCTTTGTATAAGAACCGATGTCATTAGCCAAGGACACTATATATGTTTACACGTGTTTTTTAGGCAGCATTAGAATCCTTAAAACGTCGGTTTTAATATTAAAATACAATGGTGGTTTGTTCTGCATTTGGTTGTAAATACAGTGAATATTTCATTTCAAGGTCAAACTTTATATAAACCACTATTTTTTACACATTTTTATTAAAAACAATAACAAAAATCATATAAGTACCTATATCGGTAATACAGTCGTATAAGTTATAAAAAAGATACTTAAAAAAAACTAAAACCCTTCTTCATCGTCTCCATTGACGTTCCTTCCGTAAAATTGTCTGGAATAAGCAGCTGCCGAAGACGAAAACAATCCAAACCAACGTCTTTGGTACGCGTACATTACGAACAAAAGCACAGGAAGTGAAATTAAAACACCTGAAATAAAAATATTTGGTCCACTTTAGTAAACAAAATAAAATCTTTTTGGGATGAGTTATATTGATTCTTAAGATCATTTGGTTTTATAGAAAGTTTTATTGTGGTTTTATAGCGACATTGGAGATCGCTATAAGAGCATTAGTGTTACTCTGTTTTATATTAAAGTTCCTTGCAAAGAAATCAGAAAGAAGCGATTTTACTGTACTAACAACAATTCGAAATACCTGCTAATACACCTATAAGCATTACAGCATCGCTTTCTGGTCTCATACCAGTGGTGTCACATCTTGTTTGATAGTTTCTCAAATACAAGTCGTACAAATGTTTTTGATCCATTTCAACGGGAGAACCACATCTTAAAAAATAAATTTTATTTTTCTATGGTATACACTTATTTTGAAATAACTCACATAACCTCTTCTACCACTGTCTTGTTGTTGACAATATTGGCGTAAATGGGCATCAAAGTACTGATCATCCACTGGTTGTTGCATTCGCAACTCCATGGGTTTCCCCTAATGTCCAAATCGCTTAAACGGTCCCAGGAGCTGATCACTTCAGCCTCAATTGAAGATAGTTTATTATTTTGAATGTAAAGCTAAAAAAATGTTACTATAACTTGGTTATTTATGAATGTAGAAGATAACAATCCAATGGGTAGTCAAATTTTTTCTGGCCTATACTTTTTATGGTTTTATTCAAGGCGTTTTGTAATTTTAAACATTTCTGTGAAATCGGAATTTCAATTGAGTTTACCGTTTTCGAGATATTTACAAACAAAAATCTCCTAATTACGTCACTAGGCTATTGACAACGTTGCCAGCTTTTTCTATGGTTGCCAGTGTGTTTAGTTTAAGATTCTTACGATAGATGGCGCCACGTTATAATATTTTAGTTTTAAAACCACTTGATCTATAATTTTAGTTGAGAAGAAGAAGAAGAATTGATTTTTTGACGTTTCTTTTTTTCGGGTTGTTTTTTTTAAATTTAGATTATTGAAAATCAATATTATTGTTATGTTATTTGTAATTGATATTAGATAAGTGATTTATTAATAACGGACTCCAAAGCAGAGGAATCTTGTGGAATGGTTGGTTACATTGAACATTGGAGCTTTTAAACAAATAAAGTAAGTACCTATAATTATAATCATATTTTGTCGTAAATGCATTTCATTAGTATGCCTAGTTCTTTTAGATATATCTTGGACTTTATTTTGCCACTTTTTCTATGAAATATATTAAACTCTGCTCTAGACAGTTAGGTACCTATTTATTACATTTTATTAGGTTTCACACGGTGTTTCAATAAAACTTTTAATTTCAGAATTTTCTTTAACCTCCTCTTCTTCTTCTTTCACTCAACTGACATGTCACTGTCACTGCAGTGACAGTATTTGTACATAACCTCTTCGGGTATTTTCTGACATAACCGAATGAAATCATTAACAAGACAACTTGACAACAGGGTAATTTTCAACCAATAGAAATCTTAGAATGTTGGTCACATGGCGAGGTTTGTGACGTCATAAAAATTTATATTTTTTGTAAATATCTCGAAAACGGTAAACTCAATTGAAATTCTGATTTCACAGAAATGTTTAATATTACAAAACGCCTTGAATAAAATCATAAAAAGTATAGGTCAGAAAAAATTTAACTACCCCATTACCTTCTTTATAGGTGGGTAAATAATCCCAGAATCCTCACTTTCCTTTTTACCAAGTGAGTAGTAATGTATCTCTTGCAACATCAAGTTGTTGCATAAATATAGTTCTTCCAAATTCGTCAGACCACTTAGACTGTGCTTATAGATGTGTTCAATGGTTTCTATGTGGCACATATGAAGTACCTTCATCTTTGGCATAATGGGAAAACCTCTGAAAATAAATATGATGAAACTGGAAACAAAACGAATATTTTGGACTTACGTTGTTTCGTTTAAACTTCCAAGTAGAGTTCGATTTAGATACAGTCTTTCCAAAACCAAACCATACTTGAAAGTTGCTGGTAGAATCGATATAGGATTTCCAGACAAATCCAGAGTAGTCAGTTTGTTTAAGGTGTGAAGGATCGTATCTGGAAGATGTGGTATTTCTGTATTTGATAGATAAAGTTCCTAAAACAATATTTTGATATAACCTTTAGCAGAACTACACTCACAGGCAAAATAATCGATCCACACAAATTTTCGATGAATTTCAATCGCAAATAACTTTTTTATTTGATGTCGGATTTAAACGAATATTAAAGAATATTGTAGATAAATTAATGGACAATCGCTCACATTTTAAAAAATTACTAAAAAATAGACGTACGTTTATAATATACAGGTTTAAACAAAAAGATATTTTTTACCATAAGTTTAAGACACTCTGTAGAGTGGCAAAACCGTATATTGTTCTAAACTAAGTTTTATTTATCAAGTCACATCTATTCTTAACAGTTTTGTTTTTGGTTCACCTCGATATATTTATTTTTGTGGAAAATATGGATTTTTTAAAAAAACATTGCAATTTCCAATATTTTTCTGTATGAAGAACTAAGGTTGCTATGGTCCATTCATAGGCCATGGAGAATGACAGTGAAAGTTTTGTTGAATCATCCCATACTTGGACATGTCATACACGGCTTTCAAATGCTATCAAATTGTTTTTTGCAAATTAATGTTTAAATTTTGAGGTGTCTTCTTACTTTAAAAAATGGATATGTCTCCGACTGATGTTGCCAGAGTCATTAATTTAATCCAGGATGGACGGTCACAGTATTACGTGGCAAGTGTTTTAAACGTCACAAGAAGTAAAGTACAAAGGGCAACATCAGTCGAAGACATTTTTAAAAGTCAGAAGACACCTCAAAATTTACAAAATACAATTTGATACCTTTTGAAAGCTGTATATGAAATGTCCAAGTATGGGATGATTCAACAAAACTGTCACTATCATCCTCCATAGGCTACGAATAGACCATAGCAACCTTAGTTCTTCATACAGGAAAAATATTGGAAATTGCACTGTTTTTTAAAAAAATTCATATTTTCCACAAAAATAAATATATCAAGGGGAACCAAAAACAAAACTGTTAAAAATAGATGTGACTTGATAATTAAAACTTAATTTAGATCAATATACGGTTTTGCCACTGTACAGAGTGTCTTAAACTTATGGTAAAAAACATATTTTTGTTTAAACCTGTATATTATAAACGTACGTGTATTTTTTAGTAATTTTTAAAATGTGAGCGATTCTCCATTAATGTATCTACAATATTCTTTAATATTTGTTTAAATCCGAAATCAAATAAAAAAGTGCCTGTGAGTGTATTTTGTTAGAATATCCACCTTTAAACTTTGAAGATTCGACAAGGCCACACTCATACTGTGAGAAAAGGTTTTGATTGGATTAAAACTAAGATCCAAAATCTCCAAATCTTCAGTGTGCTCGAAGACATCTTGGTTTATTTGGTTTATGTTGTTGTGGTCCAGTTTAAGGGTTTTCAGGGACCTTAGGGGCATATATTCGCCTTCCTTGTATACACCCTAAAACAAGACAAATTATCAGGTGGACAGCGCGGTCCTTCGCAACTTACCTTAAACGCTTCAGGATCAATAATATTTATTCTGTTATGACTTAAAATCAATGTTGTCATATTTTGTAGGTTTTGGAAAACACTATTTCCCAATATGGCTATCTGATTATTTTCCAAGTTTAAATACTCCAAATTCGATGAGGGAAATTGCTGGGATAAATTAACATATATTCCATTATTCACTGTAACTTTTTTGTAGGCAAAATTTTTGTTATCCTGATCCAACCAGGTAGATTCTTTGCCCAAAGTTTCCTGTGGTAGATTAGTGCAGTTTGCACTTATACCATTGTTGTTCTCACATGTGCATATACCGTTTGAAGAGCATAACGGAAAATTTGATAGCAGGTCTTGTAAAGAGGTTTGAACAAATATAAGGACGATAATACATATTATTTTCATTCTAAAAATAACATAAATGTTACTAAAGGGAAAATATATTCCAGTGTTAGTTACTTACCTTGTAGATTTACAATTTAAACACTAAAACTGAATAATTATATTTAACAGTGTAACTACCTAACAAAGACAGTCAAATAAAGGTGTATGCCCAATTTCGTTCTTTTATCTTATCTAGAATAAATATTGCAGGTATGGTTTTATCTGATTATATGTTGTGAGTATTGCTTATTTTTATTAATTTATTTACTCAGCAAGTTTACATTAGCAAGTTTATAAAATCTATGATCAAACATATCAATAGTTTTTAAGTAATTCCAGATTTTCAGAAGATGCATCTTCTGAAAATTTATAGTTTTTTGAATTGATTTGAAAAGACTGGGGGGAAGGTCTTCAACATGTTGAAGACCTTCCCCCCAGTCTTTTCAAATCAATTAAAAAAACTATAAATTTTCAACTTCTAATAATTAATGTTTTATTTAAAAACCTATACAACCGTATACAACCTTTCGGTGTATTTGCTGCTTTAAACAAACTTCCTTCAATTTAAATTTAATTGGGTGTTTTCCGGGCTAGGCACGCAACCCTCATTACTCGGCGTAGGCGCGCGTATTAGCATCTTTATCTTTTGTTTTGCATTCTTTGACACGAGCACCCTTGATGTGATGTTTTTAAAGGGGTCGTCACTTCAAATTGCCACGGAAGTACTTCAGATAAGTGACTGCTTCTTCTTCTTCTTCTTTCGCTTTTTCTCGTTCCGCGACGTCGCACAGTGGGACAAAATGAGTTTTCGATATCAGAATCTCATTTTACAGTTCTTGAGATTTTAGTTATGAAAAGTAAGAATTTTGTCGGAAGATGAGTGTTTTTGAGGAAAATGATGGTATTTTGGAAGCCGCGAGAGAAGCGACTCAAAAAATGCTTCCATCTAAGTCAAAAGAAAAATATGATAAAACTTTTGAACGATTCTGTCAATGGAGAAACAATCAAGGGTACAAGGTGTCAGTGAAAATGCTATGCTAGCGTTTTTTTGGGAAAGGTAAAAAGCTAATGCTTTTAAAAAATAAATTTTCAAATTTTTTCTTGTATTTTTAGTCCAAAAATCTGAAGGCATCGTCACTGTGGTCAACATATTAGATGCTGAAGAGTACGTTGCAAATATATGAAGGCAGTGACATTTCAAAATACAAGCAATTAATAATTTTGAATAAACAGAATGAAGGATATGAACCTAAAAAGTCAATTGAACAAATTATGAAGTTTCTAAATGACTCTTCGAATGAATCGTACCTGTTTATGAAAGTGGCATTAATTTTTTCTTTAAATGGAGCAATGCGAGGGGAAGAATTACGAACACTAACAATCAACGATATAGAAGAGAATGAATCAGTTATTATCGTAACACTACGTAATACAAAAACGAAAAAGAAGCGATAACATCGGAAGCGAACGGAATTGAGTTGTATCGGAAGTATCGCAAATTAAGGCCACAAAACACGAATCATTCCAGATTTTTCGTTTGTTACCGGAATGGTAAATGCGCTGTGCAACCGGTGGGGATCAACACATTTTATAGTTGCTGAATATTTGAAGCTTCCTGATTGCAATAGCTACACAATGTATGCGAAGGAGTGCAGCTACCATGTTGGTTGATAATGGGGCAGCATCCCTGATTTGAAAAGACTGGGGGTGGTCTTCAACATCTTCTGATGAGGGTTATACAGGAGAAAGCATTCAAAATAAATTCAAACACCGAAGAAAATTTTTAGAGGCTCCAATCAACAGGGAGCTTCAAAGGATGACTCTTGGCAGCACTTATCCTCATCAAGTTCAACTATCTTGGATGTTTCATTAAGTACAAATGGAATTTCATTCCAAAATATATCTAATCGTACATTCAATATTTTAACCAGAAAAATCTTTGCGCCTACTGTGCGTTCGTTATTTTTAAAAACGGTTGAAATTAAAGCTGTCAGGATATGTTGGTACCTCTTTATATCTTCCTTGTCCCCTATTACGTCTACTTACCTATCGAAAACCCTTTTCAATTCACTTTAGAACGCTGTGATAATGAATTTGCCCTGATTTCAGCACTATTAATAGCTTGTCAAGTATTTTAAGATTTTTTTAATCTTTAGTGATAAATTTTATACAGGGTGTTACATAATAAATTGTCATTCTATGGGGGGATGATAGTTTACGTCAAAAAAAGAAAATTTACTTTGAAGTAAAACTTTTTTTAAAGATATTTAATAAGTTTTATTTATGTTATTTTTACCTATTTTAATAACCCTTAAGTTTCAACACTTTAAAGTATGATGGACGTAATTTTTACGAAAAAAAATCACTTATAAGTGAATTTCACCCAAAGGAACATTTATCGGTAATTTTAACGTCAGAATTTTTACTTAATGGTAAATGTTACTCATAAGTCATAATTTTACGATATTAAACCACTTTATAACCGTAAATATTCGCCTGGTATTTTTTTAGGTTATTAGTGGTAATAAATACTACTAATGCAAAAATGACAACTTATTCGGTGACACCCTGTATATAACAGGAAAATGTAATTTATTGAAAAAAAAAACATTTTTTTCTATTACATTTTTATTATTTTTGACTGTACCTACAACTTTGCTCTCATAAATAACTCAAAATACAAACTAAAAACAAAAATTAACAAAATTATTAGAATTGTTCATTGACAGGCTTAATTATTAATTCATGGACCTAAAAACAAAAAAAATATTAAGGGGTTTCTGCTTTGAAATTTGACACTGTATTATATAACATATAACATGTGTTATCTAAATTTACCTGCACATGAGGAGGAGTCGACAGAACATACATCACTGCTTCAGCGACATCTTCCGTTTTCAAAAGGGGCATTGCTTTTAAAGCTTCAACGATTTTTGTATCCAAAGCGCCAGATTTCGTTTGGATTATTTCCGTTTCCACAGCTCCTGGACTGATGCTCTAAAATAGAGTTTTTATTTATTTATCACCCAGAAAGGATTGTTGTGGGAGGTCATTTAGGTACACTGTTTAAAATATCTGTGGTGTGAAGAGTAATCTTAAAATGGTGTCAAAATCCAACACCAAGTGGTGTTAATATAACACCATGAATTATGGTTGAAAATGTTTTATACAGCAAACACCAAAACGGTGTTGATCTAAAAATATTTGAGAAGCGCACCTACACAGAAAAAAAGAATAGTTCATTTAACTATATTAATTTAGTTGACCCATAAGTATTTATTTAAATCAAATGTGGGAAGGTTAATATAAACAAAGATTAGTTTGACGGTACTAAACCAGATAGTTATTTTATTTTTTTTAAATTGGTTAAATTAACCCAGAAAACTTTAGTAAAACCAACCCGCTGTATGGTTCATTTTACTAAATATGTTGTTTGTAAAATAAGAGTTACTTCAACCTAAAGCACTCTGTTAAAACGATTAAAACACTTTGCCGTGCATTCCTGGTTGCATAGTGTGTACCGATCGCGGCAAAGGCGGTGTGGATCACGTGATGTTCTTAAATCTCGCCTCTGTTGACTTACACGAATATTATATAAGCTCAGGTAGTCCTTTGCTTTGGTGTGACACTACAAGTTGTTCGATACTAACGAGACCTTAAATAGGGGAAACAGCTGTCAATATTTGAAGTATTTGAAGTTGGTGGAACGCACTAAAAACATTATCTCTAGCGAGTTGAAGGTTCCATTTTCTGGAATAATACCACTGGTAATGTACTAGTAACGCTTTAAGGAACTTTATGTTTTCTTTTTTTCCTTTTTTTCTGTGTAGTATGATTTAATTTGACCAAAAACACATAATATTTAACACTGAAAAGGAGTTCAATTTACACCAGGTAAAATTTATTTTAATACTGAGTGAATTTACACTATTTTAGTATTTAAATTTACACCGGACCAACGAACAATATTTAACACCATTTTGGTTTGTATAGATATAGACCATGTATGGTGTTAATTTGAACAGACCTTAACGCTGACGTCATATGACGTTGATGACGTGTACCCATGCAGACTTGGCCGCGACTATATGACCTGTTACTATAACTATTTACCGTCACTTTAATTTTAGTTCCGTAAGCATTTAGTTCTTGTCTTAAGGTTTCCGTAAGGGCCGTTACGGCGTATTTTGATGCTGCGTACACGTTTATATTCGGGTAGTTTGGTACTTTATGGCCTGCAACGCTGTTAATGTGCACAATATGACCGTCAACTTTGAACTCTCTCATCACTTTAATGGCCTCTCTAGTTGCCACACATAGTCCTAAAAATAAAAAAAAAGTAAAGTATAAATTTTGGGCCGGACCTATGACAACTGACGCATGCGATATTGCCATCATACCCGGATGATTTCGGAATGATATCATTGTTATAGAGGTTTACCAATGATGATGTATAGGATAGGTCAAAACAAATATGTATATATATCTACCTAAAACGTTGGTGTCAAATACTTTTCTCCATTTCTCCGTGTTTCCTTCAATCAGGTTCGTAATTTGTATAACGCCCGCATTATTGATCAATATGTGTATCGGTCCTAAATTTTCCTTCACCCATTTAAAGGCTCTTAGAATTTCCTCCTCTTGACTTACATCCGCTTTGTATACGAATAATTTTCCCCTTGCCCCTTCCTTCAGTAATTTTTTCGCCAGTTCCTTAACATACTCGTAACGTTTGTCCATTCCAACTACCTAAAAGTATCGTTCATACACTGATAAAAACTGCATTTATTTAATGGTGTTTTTTGTTATACGCTTTTTCAATGTTTAAGTTTTTAAAATTTTAATCAATTAGGAATATAATAAAGGTAAATACCCAATTACAATTATAATAAACTAAAATCCACTAAAATATAATTATTTTATGCATATATCATCATGCTGTAAATCTTAGAACAGGAAAATAAAAATGGTTACCTATTCCTTCTCCCAAAGATTAAATTTTTTTTTAAATAATGTTTGTCAACATGTTTTAAGACTTAACACAAAAGCATCATAATATTGAGTAGGTAAATCCCCGTGCATTTGAGCTAAATCCTACATGTCAGCAAGTTATGTCCTCCATTGTAGCTTTTGTGTCAAAGTCTTAAAACTTATTGACAAATACTTACCGCATTATTTTCTAAAAAATAATAATCTTTGGGAGGAGGGTATATCCTTCATATTTCTTGACAGATATCCAAAGGCGGATTTCTAAATAGGCTTGCTAGGCCATAGCCTGGGCTGCAAATTTTCGAAGGCGGAAATTTGTTTGAGTAAAAGAATAATCAGTGTTTTCTATTCTGTATAAACAATGTCTTTTATGTTTATGTCTGTATAAACAATGACTTATAAGCCAAAGTACCAAACAGGTTCCAATTTTACAATGTTTTTGTTTTGTCAGATACTTATAGTAATTTTACTAAGATAATTAATAAAATTATTAACCAAAATTTATTCTATGAATTACAAAAGTGTGTGTGGAAATATACAAATCATTATTTATTTTATACAACTTCTGTTTGCATTTTTACTATATATCATTTTAATCAGGTACACTGTTAAAATTGTTTGTAAAATTATTATCAGTGTATACCAATACAAAATTATAATACAATTTGTGTAATCTCCCAAGCTATGTTGGGAAATCTACTAAGATAAGTTGTAATTTTACAATCCTACACGCATTGTAATTTTACCAAACAGTTTGACAGTTTCTAATAAAAAGCATCTCAGATTTACAAACGTCGTTTGTAATTTGATTTGCCATAATGTTATGTAAAATGCATAGTATGTACCGATTGCGGCAATCACGTGATGTTCTTACATCTCGCCCCGGTTGACTTAGGTGGACAGTATATAAGCTCAGGTGTCTTTCGTTTTTGGTGTGTTCCAATGCACCAAATTGCCCGACATTGATAAGACCCAAAATAGGTATATCTATCTAACTGTCTATCGGTATTTGAAGTTGGTGGAACGCACTTAAAACAAAAACTTGAAGAAACTAAGAAAATTGCAGATTTTTTTCGTAGTATAATTACAATACCATCATTCGTAAATTACTAAATATTTTTGTGTAATTTGTTGTACAAAATAACAATATTTGTATTGTAATATTGCGAAACGAATTTTCTTCAGTTTAGTAAAATTGTAAAATATATTTTGTAATTTTCTTAAACTGAGTTGAAATGAATTGTATAGTGAATTTGTGGTATTCCCACTGATATTTACCTGCAGTCCTTCCTGTACCAATTTTTGTGAAATAGCCGCCCCTATTCCAGCACTGGCTCCTGTCACCACGGCTACTTTCCCCCTCCATCTATCCATACTCAGTCCCATGGTGGTTTATAAAAATTTTATATTTGAAAAAAATAATACTGGAAATTTTGAATTTTTAAAAGTCGTAATCTTTTGACGGATAATGTGCCAATACAAGACGTTTTAAAAAATGAATACCATAGACATTTTAAGAATAGATAGATGGATGTGATTTTAATAAAACTTTTTTCTTGTGTATTTTTTTATTAGTATTGTTATTTTATAATGCGATTATATATTAATACAAAATAAATGTAGATTATGTATTAGTTTAGAATCTCTTACAACATAATAATTATATATTTAAAATGGCTCATCCATGGGCATTATCATCAATTCGTGGACCTGGACGTGTGGTTTTGTGGATAGAGCGTAAACCACAGCATCGCTCACATCAGAAGGGTCCAACAATCTAAGATGCTTAAATTTTTCGTAGGTTTCATCGGGAAATTTGAAATCTGCGTTGTTTGTTAACTCGGTGATCACTCCGCCAGGGCTGACACTCTAAAACAAGAAACATGCACTGTTCAAAATTTCATGACCATTAAAACATCAAATTAACACCATACATGGTCTATATCGATACAAACCAAAATGGTGTTAAATATGGTTCGTTGGTCCAGTGTAAATTCAAATACTAAAATGGTGTAAATTTAACTTTCACACAGTATTAAAATAAATTTTACCTGGTGTAAATTGAACTCCTTTTCAGTGTTAAATATAATGTGTTTTTGGTCAAATTAAATCATACTACCTACACAGAAAAAAAGGAAACAGGAAGTATATTACCAGTGGTATTATTCCAAAAAATTGAACCCTCAACTCGCTAGAGATAATGCTTTTAGTGCGTTCCACCAACTTAAAATACTTCAAATATTGACAGCTGTTTCCATCTATTTAAGGTCTCTTTAGTATCGAACAACTTGTAGTGTCACACCAAAGCAAAGGACTACCTGAGCTTATATACTCTTCATGTAAGTCAACAGAGGCGAGATTTAAGAACATCACGTGATCCACACCGCCTTTGCCGCGATCGGTACACACTATGCAACAAGGAATGCACGGCAAATTGTTTTAATCGTTTTAACAGAGTGCTTTAGGTTGAAGTAACTCTTATTTTACAAACAACATATTTAGTAAACTGAACCATACAGCGGGTTGGTTTCACTAAAGTTTTCTGGGTTAATTTAACCAATTTAAAAAAAATAAAATAACTATCTGGTTTAGTACCGTCAAACTAATCTTTGTTTATATTAACCTTCGCACAGTTGATTTAAATAAATACTTATGGGTCAACTAAATTAATATAGTTAAATGAACTATTCCTTTTTTCTGTGTAGATGCACTTCTCAAATATTTTTAGATAAACACCGTTTTGGTGTTTGCTGTATAAAACATTTTCAACCATAATTCATGGTGTTATATTAACACCACTTGGTGTTGGATTTTGACACCATTTTAAGATTACTCTTCACACCACAGTGTGGTATAAAGGATGTGAAGAAAATAAGGCCTCTCGTTTTTGACAGTTGCAGTGACATTTCTATATGCACAAATTTCTCACCGTAATTTTGATTTTAAGGTTATTTTCCTTCAGCTCCCTTCTCATTGTTTCCGTTAAGGCTGTCACCGCAAATTTTGAAGCGCTGTAAACATTGACGTCGGGGAAATATATCACCCTGTGACCTGCTATACTGTTGATATGTATAATATGCCCGTCGATTTTGTTAGCACGCATTATTTTGATAGCTTCTCTTGTGGCTATATTAAGAGCTAAAAAACATTAATTAAGATTTTAACAGTCCAAGTAGCAAAAATACAGACCCATTACGTTGACTTCGAAAATTTTCCTCCAGTTCTCAGTGCTACCATCTATAAGATTGCCGTTTTGAAAAATCCCAGCGTTGTTTATCAAAATGCTCACCGGTCCAACATTTTCCGTGGTCCACTTAAACGCTTCCAAAATCTCATCTTCCTTGGTGACGTCGCATCTTATGGAGTAGAGTTTGCCTTTTTGACCTTGAAGATTTTTCGCTAGCTCATCTATGCGTTCCTTTCTTCTAGCCAATCCTACAACCTTAAGAAATAATGTTGGATGAGATTTGTTGATAATAAACAAACTGCCACCCACCACATCTTGAGTCATGTGATATAAAACCACAAATTAGAGCAAGCCCAAGCTCCTTATTCTTATTTCAAGAAAAACTTTAGGTTAAGTTAAGCAATAATTGTTTCAAATATTGTCTATTCTTTTTTTAACTTTTGCTCGACTTTAAATAAAGGATATAGAATATAATGCATGTTTATTTCAAAAGATAAAGAGTGGATTTTGCGATAAAAATAATTTGATAATGTTTACGTAACAACGTTTATTGAAATTTTGCAAAAAAATAAGTGACAATGATAAATTTAATTATATACTTTTTAATTTAAAATCTATAGATAGTTCTTTTTAATTGCATGTGGTAACGCATATTATTAATTTTAATACAAATTTAATTCAGTACATAATAGTGTCACCTTGACCATAAAAATATAGGTATCAATTATTTTATTTTTATACGCCTTTTAGATTAATAAATCATTTAATTAAATATTAATACAAATGCAAATATTTATTTACGAGATTAAAATTTTTTTTATTTCAAACTTTTTTTGCAGATTCGAATATTAACTTGAAACTTTGAAATTGATATTTTTATAGAAAAATTATTGCAGAAAAATTCTCAATTTAGCAATATGCACATTGTGCGTAATTTTTTTGAGAAAAAAAGCCGTTTTTCAAAATATAAATATTAATTTTTTTTAGTAAAATCAGCTTACCTTTAGTCCTCTTTCGACCAATGTTTTTGCAATATCTGCACCAATCCCAGCACTAGCTCCGGTAACGATGGCAACCTTTCCAAACCAGCGATCCATTTTTTTTTAAGTTGTATAATTATAATTAAAATCTAGGTTATAATAAAAAAAAATTCTTAAATTAAGTAAAATATTAAACAGTAGTAGATAAAGTAAAAGTTGAACTGCTAACTCGACTGATCTTTACACAACTAACAATAAGTAAGAATTTTTTTACACAAAATTAGAAAAGCGATTTTCAAGGTAACATTTTTATACGATTAGATGTTTTTAATATAATCTATTCAAGTAGGTATCGATGGTTTTTTTCAATTCAATATTTCAATATTAGGTTGTATATTTATACAGGTTTATAATCTATTTAAGTCTAATTTACTAAAAAAAATTGAACAAAAGGCCACTTTGTTATTTTAAATAGAACACCCCATATATTTTTACATTTTACGTTTTCTTCACTTAAAAGAGACAAAATATTTCGAATAATCAGAAGTGGGATAAAATCGGTGAGATTTTAAAGAAACAACACACAATGGTGGGTAGTTAATTTAATTTTTTTTTTATATTCTAAGTTTTCAAAATATGATAATAATTATTTTACGTTGTTATGAAGCATTTTGCTGGACTTTTAAAAGAGTTCTCCCACAGGTTGAATAATAATCTCATGTACAGTTGTATTCATTAAAAAAGCGTACAAGAATTAGAATGAGAGAAAACTGTCAACATTATTGCGTAAAACCGGCTTTCCACTGACTTAAGTCACTATAACTGACAGTAGAAAATAAAAATGCCTCGTCAGTTAAAAAGGCTCAAATAGTATCAAGAATCGAAGAAGAATGGTCAATTCGTACCATGGTATAATAGAAATAAAAAATCTATATTAAAAATTAATAATTTTTGTAATATTATTTAATTAACCTACGACGTCAATGCTCTTTATAACCTATAATAATTATTTTAATGACTTATGTCAGTGATAAGCCGGTTTTAAGCAATAATATTATTTTGAAAGTTTTCTCTCATTCTAATTCTTGTACGCTTTTTTATTGAATACAACTGTACCTAAAATTAATTTTAAAAAATTATCAGTTTTACTAAAAATAAATTTGCCTACCTGGACGTTCGGGTTTGTAGACAGGGTGTACACCACTGAATCGGCCACATCTTCTGCAGAAATTTGGGGGCAAGCGTTTCGTTTTTCTTCTACGCCACTGTCGGCCGGAAAATTACTGGAAATTTCTGACGTTACTGTCCCAGGGCTAACACTCTAAAAACAAAAAATATTATACTTTTTGTTTTATTTTTCCTATAGTATATATACTTACAGTTATTTTGATTTTCAGTCCATGATCGTTTAGTTCCTTCCTTAAAGTTTCCGTCAACGCGGTAACAGCGTGTTTCGAAGCCGTGTACATGTTCACTTCCGGAAAATAAACGTTTTTGTGACCGGAAATGCTGTTGATGTGCACCACATGACCGTCGATTTTGAACTCCCTCATCTGTCTTATAGCCTCTCTTGTGGCGATGGAAAGACCTAGAAAAAAAAATATTTTACAAAAATTGTTTTTTACAATCTTTGACATAGTTGCTCATGAAATGTAAACCATAGCAACGCATGACAACAAATTAAATAAAAACAGAATTTTGTCTGAAGATGAGTGTTTTTGAAGAAAATGAGGGTATTTTGGAAGCCGCGAGAGAAGCGACTTGAAATCTGCTTCAATCTAAGTCAAAAGAAAAATATGATAAAACTTTTGAACGATTCTGTCAATGGAGAAACAATCAAGGGGTACAAGGTGTCAGTGAAAATGTTATGCTAGCGTTTTTTGGGGAAAGGTAAGAAGCAATGCTTTTGAAAAATAAATTTTCTTATTTTTTCTTGTACTTTTAGTCCAAAAATCTGAAAGCATCGTCACTGTGGTCAACATATTCGATGCTGAAGAGTACGTTGCAAATATATGTATTTCAAAATACAAGCAATTAATAATTTTGAAAAAACAGAATGAAGGATATGAACCTAAAAAGTCAATTGAACAAATTATGAAGTTTCTAAATGACGCTTCCAATGAATGGTATCTATTTATGAAAGTAGCACTAATTTTTGCTTTAAATGGAGCAATGCGAGGGGAAGAATCACGAACACTAACAATCAACGATATAGAAGAGAATGAATCAGTTATTATCGTAACACTACGTAGGTAATACAAAAACGAAAAAGAAGCGATAACTTCGGAAGCGACTGGAATTGAGTTGTATCGGAAGCATCGTAAATCAAGGCTACAAAACACGAATCATTCCAGATTTTTCGTTTGTTACCGGAACGGTAAATGCACTGTGCAACCGGTGGGATCAACACATTTATAGTTGCTGAATATTGAAGCTTCCTGATTGCAATAGCTACACAATGTATGCGAAGGAGTGCAACTACCATGTTGGTTGATAATGGGGCAGCATCCCTGATTTGAAAAGACTGGGGGATGGTCTTCAACATCTTCTGCTGAGGGTTATACAGGAGAAAGCATTCGAAATAAAATTCAAACATCGAAGGCTCCAATCAACAGGAAGCTTCAAAGGATGACTCTTGCTAGCACTTATCCTCATCAAGTTCTACTATCGTTGATGTTTCATTAAACGAATTTTCTAAAAGGCTGTTTTCCATTAAGGATACAAAAAAGTATTCACCCAAAATGTTCGTGTCTAAAATTCTCTTCCACATTGCGGTGTTGCCGTCGAGCAAATTCGTGGGTTGTATTAATCCAGCGTTGTTAATCAAAATAGAAACGGGTCCAACGTTTTCTTTGGTCCATTTAAACGCGGCTAATATTTGGTCTTCGACGGTCATGTCGCATTTTAGCGCCAGAAGCTTGCCTTTCGCTGATACCAACGATTTGGCGAGCTCTTCTATGCGTTCAGCGCGCCTGGCCAGTCCAACGACCTAAAAAAAAGTCTTTGAGTGAGTATAATGTAATAAAGTATCCATACTAACCTATACTTAAATTAAACAGATTTTATTTCTTAGCTTAGAATCAAGTACAGCTGAACCAAGACAATTGACCTAATATTGTCAAGGCTAAAACTAACATTAAAAAAATATCAGTGGCAGCCCGAAGAGAAATTTTTTTAAACCCAACTTAAAAAAAACTGACGTCGCAGTTCACAACCTATACTTAAAACTAAGTAAAAAACTTAGACTGTGGTGGGGAAGGAATCCTCTACTTTGTCAATGAAATATATTTCATTGTAAAAATTACGTTTATTTTAAATAAACCTCATTTTTGTCTAATTAATATTTCATTGTTCAGCAAGAACCACGTGAAGGTCAACAATATCGGTACAATTTCTCACCGTAATATCCAGAATGACTAAATTCATATAAATCACCAAGTTTAATTAACTAAACCCACAGAATAAACCACTTACAAAAGAATCATAAAATAGACAAACTCATAGAAAAAGAATAAACAAAATATTGCCTAAATAACCACAGATTTGTTCTTTAAACAGTTCAGAATTTTATAACCAAAACAAACCTAAAGAAGGAATCTGTATTTATTTTATTGGTTACTGTGGCGATAGTGTTAAAATATGTTTATTTTAGAATAGAAATATAATTTCGATTAAATCGATTTATTATAAGAAAAATAATACCATTTATTATTGAATTTTGAAAAACGTGTGAAGTATAATTTATCTAAAATTCCGCAACAGTGTTGCCACAACACCTGCTTATTTCCTTGGACGTAGGCGTGCCTGCCTCGCGTATGCTAATACGAGAGAAGGAGACAACTATGATATCGCATTGTAATAGAACGAGACAACAAGGCTAACGCCAATCGTGAGTCTAAATTAGTTCAGGCATGCTTCTGAGCCAATTATCTAGTTATAAATATTAGTTTAAATTACGGTCGTTTCAAATTCAAATAATTTAAATGTTGCTGGGTATTCCACGTATAAAATCAATCAATTTTATTGACTATTTCACAATTCACGTAATCCAAAGTAGTACGTTACTATCAAAATACACTTATTTTTAAATTAAGCATAATAATAAGAATAAGTTTACCCTTGCACCTAACATTGAAATTATATCCAAATAAGTATAGGTTAGTTCTTGCATATTTTTTTCCATTTTATGAATCATCTGCTTTTATAATCTATGTATGTGTTATCAACAACAATATTTATAGAATGTTAAGTACCTACCTATCTATGATATACAGAGTATTTTTGTTTTTAATATTATACCGAATTTTTGACATATTTTTAAATCATTTTTAAATAAAGTGAGATATGGAAAAAAACAAGAAACAAAAATTTATTAAATATACCAAGGAAAAATTAGTCACCCGGTATAATATTAAAACAAAAATACTTTAAAAAATGTGAATATGTATAAATGCATACCAAATTTAACAAATTTAGTTTTTTTATTTTGGAAGATACTAAGGAAAAACAGGTTGCAAAAAATAAAAACAAATTTTACCGTAAGTCCTTCTTCTACAAGTTTTTTAGCTATTCCGGCGCCTATTCCAGCACTAGCCCCGGTTACTATGGCAACCTTGCCGACCCATCTTTCCATGGAAACGACCATTTTGATTTAGTATAATTTTTTTAGTTATAAACAAAAAATTGTAGTACGTTAATTTTTCGACAGTAGTCTAAACTTGTGTGTTTAATGTTTCAAGGTTAACATATTTATGTTGATAACTTAACAGATACGTTAAGTGATATTGTTAAGAGAAGGGGTCATAACTACACTGATTGTGAGAGAAATATACAGGGCGTACCATGCTGCAAAGGTGGTTATTTTAAAGATAATAAAATTGTTGTTTATATTTTTCTAGCAAGATAAAGACCAAAAAAATGTGCTCTTTAGCTCATCTCTGAATACCGTAAATCCTTCGCAGGTGCAAAAAAAGAAACAATATTAAAAACGTTTTAATTTTTCAAATACAGACTGATTAAAATTAAGTATGCATAATTTGATTAATATTTTTCCCGTTATTATAATAATAACAATAATTAATATTATTTATAATAAATATAAAATTAAAAATTTTAATTAAATAATTAAAATTAAAAAGACCTATGAAATGTGTACTAACATTAATCAAATATAAAACTAATTCTATTAAATTTTTAATACCATTACCCAATATTTGACTGCATTATTAAAAGTCAGCTAAAATCAAGCTAATATTTTGACCAAATCTGTAATATGAGCAGCAAATTTAGCAAACATGCCAATTTTTAATTTTTAACGCGTTTTAGTTTCTCTTCGAGACAGGTGGTGTAGTGAGTTGTGAAAGAACGATCGTGTCTATTCAACACAGCAGATTCCAAAACCGTTTATTTTGACTTCGCTCTCATAGTTTTTGCGACATATATGTAGGTATAATAAATTTTATTAATTTTCACGTTTTTGGTTATTAAGAGTAATATAGGTATGTTCCTACCAAGCATTTTCACTGTCAAGTAGACATCAGGGACATGGATAATATTAAAATCGTGATCACAATCCACACAAGAAGGTCTGTTCGATTTCGTTGGCATTCGACCGAAAACTGTTGTGCGCACCACGTGGGATATCTCCATCCACCATCTTTGATTAATTTGACGCCGTTAAATTAAATTTAAAGAGTTATTTTAAACGCAAATATATTAAAACTTTAAAAATTATACATTATATTAGTCAATTAAATATAAAAAACACTTGTTAAACTAAACCATTATTGAGTTATGTTTTATGAAAGTTTGTAAGCTAAAATAAATAAATATTTAATAAACACAAAATTTAGTATATATACTTTACCTACCCCACTATCACAGCTTATTACGAAGATCAATATTCCAGTCAATAATCAAATATTAAATTGATTAAAGTAATACAATTTTTAATAAATTCAATATATTTTTTACTAACTTGTTAGATAAATTTTGCATGAATCAATCAAATAATCTAATAAACTTTATCCTAATTATTCTTAATTTTGCCAAATTTATAACTACTATTAAAAAAATAGATTAAATTGACCTAAAAAGTGCTTAATTGAATCCAAGAATTGGTAAATTTAAGAAAATATGTGGATTCTAGAAAATCGTAGGCGAATTTAATTTAATTTTCACTTTAATTATTCTATATTTTGTAGTGATTTATAGCAAATAATTCAATCGAATGAATTATTGATATTAGTCTAATTTTGGATTCGCGCTATATTGATCAAAAATTTGATTGTAATACTACCTTACTGAATTAATTGTATTCAAAATTTCTTTCCGTGTTGTTAGGTAAACATACATTTTTGGGACACCTTGTATAATATTTTATAGGAATTCAGCATAGACAAATAGCAAATAATTTATTTATTGATTGTTTAAATATTTTATCTATGGATCAATTTTAAATGATTAGATAGCTGTGTGGACAAAATTGTAAGTGGGTAAAATCAGATAAATTATTATTTTTCACACCTAGTAATAGAATATCGACCAGTTCTTACTATGCATAAAATGGTAAGTTTTTTTATTAAGAAATTGTTAAGAATTAAAATATATTTATTTTTAGCCGAGTTGGCGTAAGTTATCTTTACAAGCCCAAAATAAGTCGTCGAACTTAGAAAAAAACAAAAATATGAATCAGTTTACTGACGATCTTTTGAAAGAAAAAATATTCAACTGCCAGATTTGCGATGATCTTTGCACTTCAGATATTTTCCTGGTCAAAGGTAAAGGAAATGTGTGTTCAAGCTGTTTTGAAAAAGAGTGTGGGGAGGAAATGAAATCAAGGGCTGAATTAAACACAGCCCTCATGTTAATTATGGCCAAGTTGATTTTACCTTGCAAGTTTCAATCCAAAGGTTGCGACAACAGGTTGACGTCCAAAAACTATTCCAAACACATTGGTGGTTGTGATTTCAAAATTAAACCATGCCCGATGAAAAATCTTGAGGGTTGTGATTGGAATGGAAGCAATTTCGAAGTAAGCGGACATTTATTAAAAAATCATAACCAGCGCGTTGTTAAAAGCAAGAATAACATTTTTAAAGTTGATTCTTCCTTGTATAAGCCTTTCAACGTAAAAGTGTTATCTGATGATTCCCGAACCTACCTTTTGAAGACTTCAGTCGTCGATAATAAATTTTATTACGCCTTGAATCCAGTCGAAAAATCCGAAGAAAATGTGGAATATACAGTGGTGCACAAAAGTACTCAAGAAGAAAACATTAAAGAGTTAAAAACCGTGGGTACACTAACCAAACTGAACGGAATTTATAACGAACAAAACCTGGATAAAAACCCCAACGCGACTGTGGTAGACATTGACTCGTTGAAGCATCTCCTAGATGACTACAACACGATTTCTAACGAATTTAATTTGAATCCTAAGGGAATTGACAAAAACATGTTGAAAATATTGGAATGTCCCATCTGCATGGAAACAATGAGAGCGCCAATTTATAATTGCACCAATGGACACAGTATTTGTATATTATGCAAAGAACAACTTGAACAATGTCCATCATGTAAAGAAGGCTGGACCAGTTCAAGAAACTACTTGATAGAAAATTTAACAACGGAAATCAAGTATCCATGCAAATATAGTAAATTGGGATGCAATGAAATTGACATCGACAGTCGATTAAAGAAACATGAAGAAACATGTCCATCCCGTATCCATCAATGTCCAATGAGCTGTTCTGAATCTGGAAACTTTGAATTCATTTTGAAACATCTTAAGACCAAGCATGGGGATATGGAATTCAATATGGAAATTGAAGCACAATTTACAAAAAAAGAAACTAAATGGATGATGTTTGATTTAAAATTATTTAGAGTATCATATTATTATTTGAATAGTTATGCTTATTGGGCTGTCGAATTGGTTTGCTCCAATGAAAACCCCAAATTGTATACTTATGAAGTTAAAATTTTAAA